TCTCTCTCTCTCGCGAACCGAACGCGGCTCACCTCGCTTAGCCGCTTATTACCTCGCGCGAGTCCTACGATTTTCGGCAATCGTTGCAAGTTATATAAAAAATTAATAATTTTCTATTATAAATATTGTAATATCACGTTAAATAACTTTATTAGTTAATAACTTTTGACGACACTATTGGCGATAATTGTATATTGTATAAAATCAACAAATAACAAATTCTGTAAAGTTTACATGTGTTAAAAACTTAATATTAATGGTTATTTACTTGTAAATTAAGAAAACTTATTTCTCAGAATTCGCGAATCTCTCTCGAATTTTCGATGACATCTCTCCTGCAAAAATAAGCGGGAAAATCTGTGTATAAATAGGCCCACCTTTGCACAGGCTAGCATTCACTTCTAGCCTTGCAAGGTGAGCGCATGAGTCTGAATAAACTTGGATTATACCTAAGTTCTTTCTCTCATTGTGATTAACTGAGCAAGACTGTTCCTTCCTTATAATTTAAGCTCGACTTATAGAACATCTCGCGCTATAAGAAACTTGGGCCGAATGATATCCTATCAAAGAGAGACTTTAGCTCTGCTTATGGGACAATTCGCACCAAAAGAAACTAGGGCATTGTCTGACTTTCCTCGAAATATTGTACTCATTTATATATATTTGATTTACTTATTGATTACATTTGATTTATCTATCTATTTTATTGACAAGTAGAGTAAAATTATTGGAAACAAATTCTTACTCATTAGCTAGATACGAGAGTTCGAATTATTTTATTTATAAGTGATACGAACATCACATTTTTAACTCTTGATACGAAAAAAAGGGGGTCTTGAAGCCGAACTGCAAATCTGATAAACCTCCTCCGGTCTGTATCGCATCCATCAGTCTCGGTCTCAGTAGCTGTTCAAGGAATTTACCAGTCGTGTCAAGTAAACTCAACGGTCGGTAAGCCGAAGGCGTGCCAGGATCACCCCTACCTTTTGGGATAAGAACGAGCCTTACCACTTTCCACCGGTTGTTGAATGTTCCTGTCATCAAACACGTGTTGTACAGGTCGAGGAGTATCTCCGGCCGTAGACGAGCCACAAGCCGGAGGATCTCGAATGGTACTCCGTCCGGTCCCGGTGCCTTACCCGTCTTCATCGCATTCGTTGCTCTGATGAGCTCCTCAGCGGCAAAAGCGGGGGGCATTTGTGCGTCCACGCCATCCATCACGTTTGTCCTAATCGGGTGCGTCGGAAACAATCAGTCAACAATCCGTCCTGCTGTTTCGGCATCTTTAAGTTCCGGTGAGACTCGGGCCCCTACTTTCCCGGTCACAATCTTGTAGCCGGTTCCCCAGGGATCCTCGTTCACCTCCTCGCAGAGCTTCCTCCAGCATCGCGTCTTACTGTCTTGTATTGCTCGCGTCAGCGTCTTTCGTGTTGTCTTGTCCGCGGCCTGAAGGTTTTCCATTTCGGGTCCGCCCCCTGCCCTTGTCATTCGTCGCCGATTTGTCAGGCATATCCTGCGTAACTCGGCTATTTCGTTCGTCCACCAATATTGTGGTTGTCTTTGTTGTATCTGTCGACGTTTCGACATTGTGCCTCTGCACAAGCTGTCTATTAATTTGGCTGTCTCGTTTGTCAGTCTTTCCGCTCTTTGCCGGCTCGTCAGTTCTGGGGGAATTCTCTCCCCTGGAGACGGTGGAGCCATTAGCTCTTTCGAAAATTTTCGTCCGTCGAGTTTACGTAGGTTCCACCGCGGGGGTTGATGGGTTCTCGTTCGTCTCGTTCCCGTCCGACCCACCACTTCAAAGACAATGTATTGGTGATCGCTGGCTGTGTAGTCTTCGATCACCCGCCATCCTCTCAGCCGTGGAAGAATTCTGTCCGATGTCATCGTGACGTCGGGGATACACAAGACAGTCGGGGAGTCACCAACACCTGGCCGTCTATACGTCGGCGTATGTCCCGTATTTACCACTGCTAGATCGAGTCTTGCGGCCATTTCCAGCAGTAGTCGTCCGCGTCGATTCGTTTCGTTCATTCCCCACTCGGTCGCCCTCGCGTTAAAATCCCCCGCAACGATGACATCCCGGGCAGGTCCCTGATCCCGTCTTTTAGGAGTGCCACCTTCCTTTCGAACTCCATCGCGGTGTAGTTGGGTGTCAGGTAGACGCTGACATAAGTGACAGCGCCAACTGTGACCCAGACGTAGTCGTCCCCGACACCGCGATTGGAGACTCTAGATTGGGTGCCGCCCCGTACCCAGATAGCAGTGGTCTCTGTCTCGTTTGTAATGTTTGTCTGGGTCGTCCTTCTCCTGTATGGTTCACTCAGAATCAGGATGTCCGCGTCATATTCGTCGGCCATCTAAGGTAGGAGCATGTCTGCAGTCCTACTTCGATTCAGGTTTCCCTGAATTATTTTGTCCGTCCTCTGATCCGGCCGCTGCACTCCTCCAGCACGGCCCGGAACACGGTACACCTGCCGCCTCCGGCGAGGTGGGCGACGTCGCCGTGCCCGGCCTCGGAGCACAGTAGGCAGACCGACTTGTTTTGGCATTCCGTCGCGTAGTGTCCGGATGTGCCGCACTTGCGGCAGCATTTCGTCCTGTCCTTGCCTGTGCATTCAGCTTTTACATGGCTGAAGCCAAGGCATCTGTAACATTTTGTCACCGTCAGTCGTTTCCGAACGCGGCAATGCACCCAGCCAATTCCGATCCGACCATGCCGAAGCAATGCATCGGCTTCCCGCGATTCTAATTCGCAGACCGCCATATACTGCTCAGCGCGGTTTGGACCGAAAATGTGGACTCGAAAGTCCATGTCTCGTCCCGTCTCTCGTCTAAGCGCGTCCGTCACGTCTTTCAGAGTCGCAACGCAGTCCAGATCCATGATCTCCAATTAGACCTTGGAGGTCACGGCCCTGACACTGCCCGCTTCCCCGATCGTGTCTTGGATCTGTCGTCCAAACATCTCACGTCCGTCCGGCTTGTCTGCGTCTACCTGTAGCTTCAGAAGACATAAGCCGTTCTTCGTCTTCCTCAGGGTTGTCACCTGCACGTGGCTCTCCTTCGGGTCGATCGTCGTCCGTATTTTCCGTACTATGTCAGAGTACGTCGCGTCCGTGACCGGCCTGATTAGGATAGCCAGACCCCTTTTCCGGTGGGCCGGTCCCCCTCTGTCAGGCCGATTCTTTATGTCCGTTTTCTTTTTTGTCTTGTCTGATCGTTTTCGTGTTACCATTTGCCAGTCCTTGGTCGGTTCGATCGTCGGTGGCCTCTTTTGTGAGGGCTCCGGCGTGGTTCCAACCGGCGAACGTTTTCGTTTCGTCCGTGGCGTTTCTTCGTTATTCGCCGCTGTCCTGTCTGTATTGTTGTTGTCTTGGAAACGTCTTTCCGAAACTGTGTCCGATCGCTTGTGCAGCGCGATGTCCACAGTCTCAAGAATTGTCTTAATTCCCGTCTTCACTGTCATGTTCATGTTCTTTTGTATGTTTGCTGCCTTGGCCATTTTCGTCGCCGTTTCTTGTATGAGCCGCAGCAGTTCCGTCACGTTTCGTGTATCGTTTGTTATTGTCGGTGTTCGTCCTGTCGTTGGTTCTTGGCTGTCAGCGGCAGAGGCGTAGCTCACCCCGCTGCCGCCGCTTGACACACTGTCCATCCTCTGTCGTCTCGGTAAGTTCAGTAGGTTCGTGTCGTTTTTTCGTGTCTTTCTCCCCATTCCTGTGTACAAAGTACGGTCCTCAAAATCCGTGCCGCTACCCGTGGCCACCGGGGCTTTCACCCGATTGGAACCCGGGGTGGATTCCTCCTGAGAAGGAGTTACCACTTGAGGTACATTAGTGTTTTCATTGTGCATATTCATATTTATTGTTTAGTCCCGTTGTGCTGAAGGTCCCTCGTGGTCGCGACTCCACGAACCGCACGGCCCTTGAGGTCTCCCCCCCTGTATGTTTACCCTGTGTGTTTCGTGTTCCCCCCTGTAGTGTGTGCGTGTATGTAAGTGCCCATAGGCAAAACCGGGCTTCGTTCACGGGGAGAGCCCATTTAGAGAGATCCCCTTCACTCGCTTTCGGGCGGCTCCATTTATAGAAGTCCCCTACCATTCGCTTTTCGGTAAGACACGTTTATATGGTCGCCGAGAATTCACTTCCCCGGTTTGCCAGAAGGCGTTTGTGTGTGAGTGTTTGCGTAGTGTGTGTGTCTGTATGTGTATAAGTGATTAATGGTTGGACACATCGGCAGAATACCATTATCTTTTGCGTCATTTGTGAGCCATATCTTCCTCTTGGCCGTGTCCGTTATGGCGTTGCTGCTCAGAGCATTGACGCGACGGACAACGTTTCCACCGGGCACGTCGTGGACGTTGGAAGCTAGCATTTGCCCAGTGAGGTGTTACCACTCACTGGACCAGCCCGGCATTCATATTATTATTATTATTATTATTATTATTATTATTCAATATCATTTCAATTTTGCATGAAAAATTGGGGATGAAAAAAATATCAGCAAGATGGGTGTCGCGTTTGCTCACCGTTGAAAACAAACGAACCCGCGTGGTCATCTCTGAGGCTCTATTGGCACGCATATATCGTAATCCGGAGGACTTTTGGCGTCGACTCGTAACTGTAGACGAAACATGGGTACACCACTACACTTCTGAAACCAAAGAACAGTCCAAACAATGGATTACCGCAGGAGAACCATAATTTTACGTTGCTTTCTGTGAACGGTGGAGCACGGAAGTGTCGTGGCGTTTGCACGTTGACGATCGGTGCAACAGCAGCGACGACGGCGGCGTCGTCCGCAGTAGCGGATTAAAACCTTCCGGGGCCTGGTGCTAAAATTCCGGCGGGGCCCATTTAAGGCGGCTGATTTAAGCTAAAAAAGCTTTCAGGCAGGAAAAAATAAACTAATCGCATAATACGTAAAAACAATGCATCCATTTTATTAGTATTACATAACAAAATATAATCATTTTTATGTACATTACACAAAAAAAAAATTAATTAAAAGGCCTTTCTTCTACTTCTTGATTTTGCAAACTCTTCAATTAATTTATCGAAATTAAGTGATCTAAGTAGTTCCTTTTCAATGGTGAGAACAGCCAGTGCCGATAGTCTGTCATGAAGCATAGTGGATCTGTGCAAATCTTTTATTCGCTTTAACACAGAAAACGATCGCTCAGTTTCGCAGTTGGCTATAGGAATAGTCACGAGTAGTCTATACGCAACGTACACATTTGGGAAAATTGGTACCATACCATTTTCAGCTATCCAATTCAGGACTAATATAGGACAGATCGTGTTATCATTTGTTCTGATATTTTCGCACGTGCGATTCGAGAAAAATCCGGCAGTTTGTGTTCTGACACGCGGTACAAATTGCCTTAATTCTATTAGTAAGTCTTCGTCTAGATCATCTGGATACACTTCTATAAGTTCTCTCGCTTTTCTCTCTAATTCTGCGCCATCAATACTCATCAACTGAGTTAAAAATCCAAACAAATTTGTGATAAAACTATATGCTTCACTTCGCTTTTTCAATTCTGTGACTAATCTATCAAAAATAACATAAAATGTTTCAATTCTAAATTTTTCAGAGCCGTTTGAAGTTTCGGATTGCGTATCCTTGTCAGCCAACTTGCGTGTTATTCGCCTTTTGCTTGCGTCTGTGTAATCTTGGTTTACTGATTCACTCAGAGCTTTTGCTTCAGCCTCAATTGTTGGAAATTCATCACGCAAATCTGAAACAAAAACGATCAGAGATAACAGCATTGCATTTGCAGATACAAGATCTACATTGATTTTTTGCAAGTACTGACTCGTAGCATTAAATCTGTTCAATATCTTGTTCCATAACACTGCCATTATAGCGTTTTCAAGCTTTTTCATACTTTTCAATAGTCCAGCAGCCTCTTGTCTTGCTACTGGTTTTTGTTCGCAATCTTCAGATATTTTTTCTAGAGCAACCAAGATCTTATCAAAATTATTGACGTAGTCTTTTGTAGCATCTCCTCTACATGACCATCTAGTTTCCGATAAATCGGAAACTTTTGAATCTAGAATTTCCCATCTGTATGTAGAGGCTGTAAAAAAGTTGTACAAACCTTGCAAGAGATGAAAAAATAAAGCAGCTATGGTACAATCGAAAACGCAGCATTCCCCAACTAAATTTAAAGAATGCCCACAGCATGGTACATAAAAAGCTAGTTTATTCAGCTCTTTTAAGCAAGCTTGCAGTCCTTTAATATGACCGGACATGTTTCTCGCGTTATCATATGTTTGAGCACGACAACCTGCTATATTGATTTCATGTTCTTCTAGCAGTTTTAAAATGGCATTTTTCATATCTATACCTTTGTGGCTGCCTACTTGCAAAAAGCAAAAAAATCGCTCATACACATGCTCGTTCAAATAGTAACGAAAAACAACGGAGAATTGGTCAACATGCGCAATGTCAGGCGTTGAATCAATAACGAGACCCCAGTACTTGGCTTGACTAATTTCATTTTTGATGTGTTGTACTACCTGCTCAGCCATCAAGTTTATAAATTCTTCACATATTGTTTTTGATAAGTAAGACACCGTACCTCGACCTTTGTGCGCGTATGTGTCAATATGTGCTTTCAATGTCGAATCAAACTCAGCTATTAGCTCCAAAATTCCGAGGTAGTTTCCATTGTTTGGAGAACCAAAGACTTCATTCTTACCACGAAATGGCAATCCTCGTTCAACTAAGAAACGGATTACTGCTACAATGCGCTTTAATATTTGAGTCCAATATTTTGTGTCAGCTTCTATAAGGGCAATGGTTTTTTTATCGATGCGAGCGTTAGCCAAATTGTAATCCAAGTATAATAACATACAGTTATTATGTTCCTTGCTATTTTCATGCGAATGAATGCCTTCTTCAGTTTTGTTCCATTTGGAAAATCCATTCGTTACAAAAGTATTTCCTTGTTGATTGGAAAATAATTTGCAGAAAAAACAAAAAACCGTGCCCAAAGATGGAGAGTATAAAAGCCATTTTCTATCACATGTTTCGCCATTTGTTAATTGACGTTGAAAATATTTAGCCGAAAAATATCTTTTCTGATTAGCGAAAATTCTTACCGATTTGATGAAACTATCGTTTTTGTTTTGAAAAAACTTGCATCCTTTATCCAAGTACTTTTCGCGTTCAAAATTGTTTTGATTCAATTTAAGTGTCCATAAAGCTGGATCTTGATGGATAGCAATTGTATCTAAAATAAAATAACTTTTGTCAACAAATAATACAAATCACAATATCGGACTAATTTTTTGAAATGAAAATAGAAACACTCGGTGAATATTTCATACAGTATAAATCTAGTGAAAAAAATGCCGCCATTTAAAAGCACAAACACCGTACGAAATTTGCAAAACAAAAACTAATCAAACTCAATTTTACCTGCTACATTAATCTGTAGCGTTGAATTATTGTCTTCGTGCACTGAGTGATCATTTTGAGTAGGTTCAGCTTTAATTTCTTTATCCTGAATTTCATCATTAGGATCACCTTGGTCAATCTTATCAACTGCCTCATATTTGTCACAAATAGTATCATCGTTCTCGTTCTCATTATTTTTCTGTGAAGTGTCATTTTCTTCTAATGACGACGCACGTGGAGAAAAAAATGTTGTCAATTTGGGAAGTTTGCGTATTTTTTCATCTCTTTCTTTCGCAAGTTGTCTTTTCTTATTGCCACTTAAATACTGTCTGCTCGGCATTTTGTTCGAAAAACAAGCACCACACGTTCAACGAAAAACTCAAACTCACTCCCCTTACTTATTAATAAACGTAAACGAGGTGTACTCGCGGAATGAAATATAATAGATTTGTCGCTCTGACTTGCTATAAAAAAACGCGAATTAAAAGAAACACTTTAAAATTAGAAAAAGCAAGATAACCACAGTTAGGTGCAGCGTGCTGCTGTGTATGCAGTGTGTATAGCTTTTTTCAGCTTTTAGCCCGTTGAAGCGTGCTCGGGTTTTCCGCGAATCGACACATCTCCAAAGGCAAGCAAAACAACGGAGTGTAAGAATCTCGCCGCGATGCTTGATTGTTTTGACCCGCGAAACATTTAATACTTTAAATTCATATTACTCAAATAAGTAAATTCAAGTAAAAGTTAAAGTTGTCTCAAATCGGTTCAATTTGTTTTTACTTTTGCAAATTAATCTAGTAATGAAAAAGTGTGTTCAATAGAAAAAGTCTATACGTTTATCCGAGAGTTATGATTTAGTTCAAAACAGAATAATAGACGAATAAAATAAATAGTATTGATTTGAAAACAATGTATTTTGCACGAAACTTTTTTATTTTAAAGTTCATCGAAATCAATTTTTACTGGAAATCATCAAAAAACGGATTTTTTCGTGGAATTTTTTAATCGAATTTAAAATTTGATTTGGCTGATTTTTTTTTTCAATTCAAGTGGAGCTCGGGGCCCCCCGATCCCTGGGGCCCGGTGCTACAGCACCACCAAGCCCTCCCCATGATCCGCCACTGGTCGTCCGTCATGGTCATAGGTGTTTAAGAGGAAATTATGTTGCACTGATTGGAATGACGATTTACTTCACGTGTTATACTTGTTCACCCAGATCACGTCGGGGTCATCAATTTGAAGCCGTGAGCGCAGGGTGAAATGAATTATAATTGATATGAGAATAATTGTTTTTATTAATTCAAACAAGGAGTTACAAGTATAGCGCGACTCGGCAGAACGTAAACCGCGGAGCTGGCAGAAGGCCGAGCTGTTAGCTAGTTTCGAGTTCGGGATAGAGTGTCTAAAACTCACCCCAGCTACTTGGCGCTTCTCTTCGGAAAATCTGGTGAAAAGGGCAAGTCCCTCCCATGAGGTCCGTGGAAAGGATAGCCGGGATCGCGGGTTAATATTAATAAAACGAAGGTTGGGCGTGAGCTTTCCCTTAAACAAACTCATTAGCGCTGACGCGCGGCCATCGATGTTTAATGCGTTTATTGCGAATGGCCATAAAATCTCCGGCATATCGTTCGAGATTTATGAAGTTTTTTGTATAAAACGGTAAACTTCTGGTTAACACGTGGAGGGAAAGGACACGCCACAGAATCATCTACATCGACTACTTAGAAAAGGGCCAGACGATCACTGGACAATATTATACATCATTATTAGGTTAGCTGAAAGAAAAAATCAGAGAAAAACGTCCTCACTTGAACAAAAAAATGCCTCTTTCTTCAAAACAATGCTCGAATTCACACGTGTGCAGTTTCGAATGCAAAAATTAACGATTTAAAGTTCAAATCAATTGACCTCCACCATATTCGCCTGATTTGGCTCCCAGTGATTTTTTCTTATTTCCTAACCTCAAAAAATGGCTTACTGGACAACGATTCACGTCGAATGAAGAAGTCAATGCCGAAACAAATGCCTATTTTGAGGGTTTTCAGAAATTATATTTTTCTGATGGCTTAAAAAACTGGAAGGCCGTTTAATAAAATGTATCGACCTTCAAGGAGATTATGTTCAAAAATAAAAAAAATTACATACGTAAAACTTCTTTTTCCTTCTTTTTGTAAAGACTTATTGACCCCCCCCCCTCGTAACATATGATAGCTAACTATTTATTACAGTAGTAAACAATTATTTATATTTTTAAAATTGATTTAAAAATTGTTCATAACTGGTATTAATAGCAAATTTTTTTTTATAAAATCGTGCATTTTCGACATTGTCTATAATAGTTGATAACTGTATAATTATTACTGAAAGAAAAAAACTATTAACAACTCTTATACGTGTCTAAAATCTGATATTTATAAACAATTTGAAACTATAAACGACTGCGTGCACCAACTTCACGTAATAGTACATTACAAGTGCGGGAAAGATTCTTGTCTCGTGTGGCGTTATTTACGTCCGAGCGAAGCGGGATTTATATTCAACTCGTTAATAAAATACATAAAAGTCGTATGCGTAGCTTGTTATAAATCGATAAAACAAATAATTATTAAGATTTAAATTGTTTAAGACATTATAAACAAATTACCGAATAACTTAGCGACATTCTAAAAACGGCGGCATATGTTTTATTTCATGAGCAATTCACAGGATTTAAAAAATTAGAATCTTAAGTAATCTTTAGGTATTTTGTATGCGCCGTGCAAGCCGCTAAGACAACCATTTCGCAATGTTTCCTTGCACAAGTTTTTTTATATATTCTAATACTTTAGTTCATAATGAAGCTAGGTCGAGCTGAAGCTCTGTATGCGCACACCATCTCTATTTCGAGTTCAGTGGTGAGTTTTATATTGAATGCCAAAAACGCATCTATGAAGTTGCTTTTTCTGTGATTTACAGCTCCAATTTTATTTAACGTGTAAGTTGGCGAGTTTGTAATCTTTCTTTCCATTGTACCGTAAATCGTAATTACAACTAATTATTTATATTTTTAGTTTTATTAAATTTCAAAATACATAACAGATGTTGAATAAAATTACAACTTCGTTGAATAAAATTGGAGCTGTAAATCACGGATATAGCAACTTCATAGATGCGTTTCTCGCATTTAATATGAAACTTACCACTGAACTCGAAATGATAGAGATGGCGTGCGCATACAGAAACTCGGACAGTGTTGGACCCGGGACCCGGCGTTGGGGATAGACACGGATCCCATGTAGACACTCTCTAAGAGAGAATTCACATACATGTTGGATCAAGCAGTTTCAATTTATTGTGAAATGTAATTTACAAAAACGATAATCAATCCAAGATTTTAAACTTTTACGTTATGAGTTCTATTAATAATTAACAATGTACATTTTATGAAAGAATTTAAAGAATATGAAAGTTAATTCGAATAGACTGTTTATTTTTTTTAATGTAGGTAACTGGTTTTTTTGTGCATTGATTTCTGATGATAAAGATACATTTAGCAGAGAACTTGAATAAGGAAGTCATAAAGATACTATTTTGACATAACATATAGATTTTATTATATTCACAAAATAATTTTGGTGTGATGTCAATTGCGATTATAGTACTCGTACTTGCGAAGTATCTATAGTTGCGAAGTAAAAGTGTTAGAACTCTGAGCAGATTTAGGATGTACAGGACTTACTGCTGATTATTTAAGAGCAAATGTTTTGACTGTTGATTTGAAAAGTATTCACGTTCTTTCATACTATGCATCAAAAGATTGGTTTTTCGTTAATATTAGATTGCAGAAACGTATTTGAGACTTGTGAATCTGACGCCCAAACAATTTTTTAAAACATATTTTTGAGTTTTCATGAGCTAAAACATTTTCTCCCTTTTTCCGGATTAAGTCTCCGCTTGAAATTTTATTTTCGGATTTTCCGTTTTTAAGAAAATTGCGAAAAAAAATCGGGTGTTCGGACAGCGCGCATATGCATTAAACATTTTTCTCCTGTTTAAAAAGAAATAATATCGATAGCGGATGATAGCTCCTTATTCCCAAATTATGAAATAATTTTCCTTTTGTTGATTTTCTATCCAAAATTGAGGAAAATGTAAAGTAATATGCGGCAGTTAGTCGATAAAACAGGTTAAGCATTTGCTAATCACAAGATATCCCTATATGAATTCTACAGTGCGTACAGTCAACAGTCAACTTAAAAAAAAAAAAAAAAAAATTAATTATTGGAAAATAACAATGAAAATTATTTTTTTAAATTAAATAATTGTCATATTCTTACGCAAGACTTTATTCTTTATTTTCAGAAGGATATTCATTAAATAAAAATTAATTAGTATACTGTATAACTTTAAATGATTAAGAACAATCGAGAGAAATATATTTTGAGATAGGAGAGAAGCTGTAATAAATTTATGAAATAATTTGTTTTCCACTCATTCTTCTTTGCTAATTTACGATAGTCTTTTGTGACGTTACTCAAAAACAAAATTATATAGTATATTCTCACAGCAAACGCACATACATAACAAACACACCACTCATTAGTTACTTTCTATATAAAATCATTACTCTCTTAAAGTCAAAGTCTTTCCTTTTACGTAATAATATGAGTTAACTCGAATTTTCGTAGTGTTACCAATCACGGTAGATATTTCTGTCAATAGATATTAAACCGCACTCGCAATCATACAATCGATATCTTTTAATAATTGAATCTTACGTAATAATCTTTTTAAGGATTATCGATGGTTCTTCTCACCAATGCTTCTTGAATACCACTGATACGAGGCTTAGAATTTTATGGGTCTTTGCAGAACAGACTTTGAATTAACGTCGTAGATTTCAACCCTCAAAGGGATGGATGGTCCAAAATGTCTGGCAGGAGCAAGGATGAGTCTCCATCATTTTATTGCCGGGGATAATGTTAAATTTTGGCAAGATGTCGTACGGAGAGATTATATTAGAGCGGTGATCCATGGCCGTTCCGAGATAGTGTCCAGTTATACCGCGCGTAATGAGAAAGAGCTTTGTCTATTGCCCTTTAATTTTATTTCGGCGTTCGCAATCGAGGCGCCACATTTTAATCGGAGACCTTTGCGGATTCACGTGTGACGAGAGCAAGCAGTACGCTTGCTCTTCGTCTGCCCTTCTTCTCTCTCTCCCTCTTATCGCTCGGCATGGCGACGTGGTCAGCGTTCGGCGCATATATTTATTGCGCCTAACCACTGGCCTTTATGTTTTTCCAGCCGCCGAAGATTGCCGAGCAAGATTGAGAGCGCCCGAAGAAACAAGAGCGCAGCGACTAT